GCTAAATTCTCGAAGCGCACTTAATCAGTAAAATCAACTATTTCTTGAAAACTATTGCTATTTATGATATAGAACTCTAGAACTATTGTAAAACAAACCGGAACTCTAAAGTAATAGTTAATTTAAATAGGTTGTTTGATTAGGTGCGCTGCGAGAACTTAGCGCACCTTTTTTTAAAAGTCTATTTTTTTGTATTTAATGACCGGAACTATTTAAAATTGTTGCAAAGAGCTCTAGAACTTTTCAAGAGAGTATCAAAACTTTATATAATATATAGTTTTGCAGTGGCGTCGCAATGTTCGGGTCCGTACATGTTTATGCCAGCCAATCGCAGAGTAGCTGCTTGACAATTCTCTTTACTAGAGGTTCTCTACTATCGCTTGATTTTCAATACGAGTTCTAATTGGCTTCTGCTTTTCTGCTAAGGTGTGAATGCGCCCTAAAGCGGGAAGCACACACTCTTGCATAAAGGCATAATGCACAACGCATTGTGCCTTCATCTTCATCGTAGCAATAGAACTGAGGACCTGATTGGTTCATTTTCTTATGCGTGGATATTATAGCTTCATGCAAGAGTGTATGTTTCCCGCTTAAATCTATTTTTCACAATTACATAAAAAAAATTTCAACCTAATCGCCGTTATATGTAGACGTATCCGAACAAGTTCGGATATTTTTTTTTTAGAACTTGTACTTCGATATTTTGGCAGGAAGCGCTATTTGAGAGTCTGCAAGCCAAGTAAAATATAGAGAAGATAAAAAATACGAAATAGATAGGTTGAGGGAGTCTTCTGAATAAACTGATAATACTAACGTAATATATATACATGTGTTTATATAAATAATTACTATTTAATTTCTCTCATTATAATTTCTTTCTATAAGCTGTATATCTTATTTCTTAGTATTTAAATTTTGCAAGTACATGCTAATGGATTCATCATATAAAAATTTATTAAGATATATTTTTTTTTATTATTCAACTAGATATCCTGTTAAGATATATCCACCGGTATCACTTGTCAGTATGTTAGGATGAGTCCTGTCAGGCAACACTTGATATGAACGTAAGAAATTTGTGAACAATCTTAAATTTATCACACCACGCTTTTGCTTGAGTCCCATGTAAGTCTCTTGCAGCGGCTCTCGATGCATATGGAAGATAACAAACGGTCGTGAGGCTCCCAAGAAAGGCAACAGAGCATTTACAATATTTAACGGATGTTCCTTGGCCACAATGGTCAAGCCACGAGCCTTGGAGGCGTTCAATAAATCCACCGCGCGTTGCGTCTCAAAGAACCACTTTGGCTTTTTTATAGGCACCGCGTCCGCAGATTCGTCGAGTTTTCGTTTCAAAGCATTAGCACATTCTTCACTTGCAATTAGTGCAATATCTGCTCCTGCTTTATCTTCTAATTTAAAGTCTACGGTGCCTAAATTTGATACTAGGTTACTGTTAATTTTATCATTAGTTTCTTCAGTTGCTTCTTTTGAGTCCTTTGACTTTGTTACTTTATTGTCAACAGCATTCTTAGATGCAGCAATGCTGTCTAATACACTCGACTCACCCTGGTAGTGCAATCTTAAAAAACTATAAATGTTCACTGTAACATGCCTGTCCTTCAATTCTCCAGGGAAGTTCATAGCCTGAATGATGGCAGTCTGAGGTATGTTGCCTGGATGTAGATTAATCAGATGGCCATTGGTATTAGTACCTATTCTATCCAACATAGCTGCAGCAGGTAGTCCTTGGGATCCACTGTCGTACAGCATGTACAAGCCATCAGACTGCACATCACTGTAGGACAATATTTGCGCTAGCGCATCCATTCGCAGTCCTCCAATTTTATCAGGGTTTAATCTGAAGTGTACCTCGTGCAGGGACACCACAGTGGGTCTACATACTGTCAAGAATCTGAAATACTTGCGTTCCTTCTTCTTGATGTACTTCTCTTGAGAATATTCAGTTTTTGCTGCGAAGGATTTGCTGTTTTCTATGAGACTGCCGATGATCTCTTTGCCAGTCTTGCCAGTTTCCTGCAGCTGTAGAATCTCTTCCTTTGACAGTTTCTGTGACGTACCGTCATCCGTGATAGAGCGATTGTCGTGTCCGCTCAGGTCACCTTTCAAATCGTCCCAGGACTCCGTCTGCTCGGCTAGTTTCAGGGTGAAGGCTCTGCCGCCATTTCGCGACGGTACCATTTCAAAGGTGCTCCAGAACGGCTTGCCGACGATCTCGCGCATTTCCACCTGGTCCTTGCCTAGCATCAGAGTACCATTTTCAGACACCTTATGTAGCTTACTATAGCTCTGCTTTTTGATTATCACGTATGTGCCCACCGTGACTACGTCGTCTGCATTTTCATACGAGTTCCCCGCGACTTCGCTCATCGTGGCATTTGTTTCGTAAAAAACCGCGTTTAAGGTTAGAGGATTCATCCATCCATCTTAACTTGGCCACGGATAAAATCCATCGCCACCTAGTGTTCATAACCAAAGGCGTTTTTTCGTTTCGTGACCACGGTAGCGTTTGGTTGGTTAGTTTGGTTTGATCCACTTAACGCTCGCAACGCCGCGAGTGTCATTCTATCTTTGTTGCTCGAGGCGTTGCGAGCGTTAAGTGGATCAAAACAAACCAACCAACCAAACGCTACCGTGGTCATGAAACGAAAAAACGTTTCAACTTGTGCAGTCATTGAACCAATGACCGCGGAATTCAAATAGTGATCTTTGAGTTCTTCAAGTATTTGGTTAGGGTGATCGTGGACTTTGGAGGTTTGTACTTTTTAACTGGGTACCTATTATGGACTTCTTCGAAATGCGCCTAACGGACGTAGTAAAGTTTGTTACGCACTTTGTTAGATGGCGTATCAAAAATGGCCTAGCTCTGGCCACTGAAATCAGGCTTGTAGTTGTTCTCATGCTTCCTTGGAATATACACACTTTTGCGCAGAAAGTTCAGTTAAAAAGGACAACACTGCACATTTCGGCTGAAGTTGTAGCAGTACATCTATATAACTGTGCGCCGCAGATATAAGGTTATAATACTGCGGGTCGGCGAGACGAGGGTACGAGCGAGCGGATCACGAACGGTGTCGGCGATTCCCCGGCTCCCCGTTGTATCATGGCAATGAACGCGCAATACGAAGCGATTGGTAAGGGCTTCGTCCAGCAATATTACATGCTCTTCGACGATCCCGCACAGAGGCCGAATCTTATAAACATGTATAATGTAAGTGCCGATTGTCGTTTCGCGGTGCCGACTGTTCGGTCCGTTCGCGCTAATTGTATTGCCTAACATAACCTATTTTCGCAGACGGAGACGTCTTTTATGACGTTCGAGGGCCTACAGTTACAAGGCGCCATGAAAATAATGGAAAAATTAACTGTGAGTAAGCTCAAGTTGGTCCTATTTAATTTATCTAAGCATTATCTGTTATATTTCTGTTATTCTGCTGGTTTGAGGTTATTTTCATAGAGGACACTACACACAAGGGTTACACACCCCTGTAACGTTCATTTGCTATCAAACGTTGTGTCATTTTAATTTTTAACAACTAAAAAAGTTGAGATAATAGTGACAAAATTTGTCATTTTGTTATATCGACTTATTTCTCTTGTCTTTTTTAGAGCTTATCTTTTCAAAAGATAAATCGGATGATAACAGCGATTGATTCGCAACCAATGTTTGATGGTGGAGTTCTCATTAATGTATTAGGAAGGCTGCAGGTAAGAAAAATATTGTTACAACTATCAAATAGTTGTTAGCTCATAGCAGTTATCTGATAACTCCTGTATGAGAGATATCGAATGCCATCTTCCCAAGCAGTTCAGCTACAGTCTGTGGTCAAGGTAGCATTAAACAGAAATGACACCATCTATGTAAATTCAAGCCAGGATCTCAGGTTATTGTCAAACCAATTCAGTTCAGTAATTTAATTCTCGTGCATCCTGAATTCTTAGTGTCTCATTCTTGCATATATATACTTTCAAAAAGAGAAAGAATTTTGATGTGTTAAATGCAATGCACCCAATACAAATGCATAAAAAAAATTGATCATTCTCATCAAGTGATCAATTTGCCTATTAATTTCTGCTCACGAGTCCCGTCCGTAATTCTGCCCTATTCTTTATACATCTCTCTTTTTCTCTCAGTCTGTATTATATCTTTAGTACCTATAATTCAATAATCTTCGTGATTCGATACAACTCGCATCTGTGCACACGAATCTACCTCGGAAATAAAAGCAGCGATAAGAGAGAATTCACTTACTGATTGTGTTATCGTTGGTGATTTGGGCAGACCGACGAGGATCAGCCTCATGCGTACATCCAGACGTTTGTCCTGAAGCCGATCGGCACCAGCTTTTACGTGCAGCACGACATCTTCAGACTCGCATTGCACGACACGGTTTAGGCATCAGGTACCGGAAACTCTCCTCTTTGCCCCCACTCTCCCGCACCCCTGTGTTGCTCTGCATTACAGGCAAGCCTCGTTTGTTCGAGTCTCTTTTAACATCCGAGATGTGGGTGCTTTTTTTCCTTTTTTTCGCAATGCACAACATAGCTTGGTTATATTATTGCGTGCTCCTGTTCATAAATTTTTCACTGACTGGATCGGATATACGCCTGTCGCATTTTCCGCTTCCACCTACTGATTTAGCACGCGCATTCCGAGATACTGAATCCACAATTATTCGACAGTTGCATCGAAAACGAGCGACTTAACAATAGCGTAAGATTAAATTGCTGAACAAATTGGGACAGACGATTGCAAGCCACGACAATTTACATATTAATAATGCCTACAGCTACGGCATTTTCATGCTTTAATTTTTATGTTGTTACCTCACGTAATTACGAAATTAACTGTGATCGCAGCATTGACACAATGGCGGTACTTCAGTATTGCGTGCTGTAATATTGCGTCCTGATGTGGATGTTGTGTTTCGCTAACAATATCCTAATCTGTATCGATATAACATGTAAAAATAGGAATACTGACTGCACATTCAGTGTTATAGTACTAATTATACGATATTTTATAAAATACTTCATAAGGCTTCGATGCAATTATTTTTACATGTACAGTTCTGACGCTTATTTTTGAGATGTATAATAGCACAATAAAAACTATTTTTTTTCTTTGAAACTGTTCTCAGAAGAAAAACTCCCTTTTAGAAGCGCAATAATCTTTTGTTTCTTTTTTCTTAGCAAATGAAGGATCTGTTTCTTCTACAAACTCTGCGAGTGTTATCAAGTTCATTGTTCATATTTTTCTGAGATATATATATATTTTTTTTTATATTATATATAGGCAGACGAGGACCCACCACACGCCTTCTCACAGACCTTTGTGCTGAAGCCAATGGGAAACTCATATTTCTGTCAGCACGATATCTTTCGCCTTGGCATTCATGATACCGCGTGAACAATGAGAGATCGAACTGGTTCACCGCGACCGGTAACCAATCACCATGGGCGGGGGTTGCTGTGCGACGGGCACCCTGAAGAGATCGAACTAAGTGAGCGCAACCATCCGTCGTCATCGATCCCTTTCTTCTTCGTCACGATCGCATACCTATCTACCCCATGCCCCCCATTTTTTTTAGATATCACAGGTTTTATATGAAGATTATCTGCTTATATCTTGGCCACTACATAAAAAGGAGACAAAAATTGAGAAATGAAGAAAATCATACACACATACACACAATACAATTTGATTCGCTTTTCCTCCGTGTATATGTATGTATATATATATATGTGTGTGTATATATATGTATATGTATACATACACATATATATGTTATGTAGATAAATGTGTTACTTCTCGGAAATAAATTTGCGTCACTTGGTTAATCTCATACGTGAATTTGTCGTAGCACAATACACATATACATACAGACACACTTAGGTAATTATGTCGGGAGAGTTTGGTTTTTGACGGCAGGTAACGTTTGCATTATTACATACGCTTCAAAATGTATTGTAACATATTTTACATTAATGCTGTGTATTTTTGTAATACGACTGTTGGCCATTAAATACAAGAATACGGAATTAATTGGTCGTGACGAATTTATTATACGTTCAACAAACGCTTAAAGTCGGCTTCACACGATATGGCAAGGTTGGACCAATATTTAGCTAATATAACAATTCATTTATTAAAATAAAAAAAAAATGATACGAAATAACCAATTACATTAACTAACGATAATATACGTTCGCTATCGTATTGTATGATCGTGTGGAACTGGCTTGAAGCTAATCGATCATGTTAATAGTTTTATAAGTGTATCGGGATATTTTATAAATTTCCGCGTTTCGCTTGTTCCAATTCAATTGCTTCGAACAATGCCTGGAAGTTGCCGGCACCGAAGCCCTAAACAAAAAAGGGGGACGTGAAAAAGATGCGCTACATTACAGCTACATAGATTTCTTTGAAGTTTAACACATTTGCTATCACGATTTATTTACGAATTCTCCTCACAACCAATTTCGTATTTGATTTTTCTTTTTGCGTAATTGCGTACAATAGACTTAGTTTGGTAATATGTATATAAAAAAAAACTTTTTGTCATACATATATGATGCTGGTAGCGAACGTGTTAAGCGATCAGTTTTGTAAATTTAATTAATCACGTTTTTTTCGAACACTCTTATGCCCGTATTCATAGTCAGGCCTTATATTTAAGGCTTCCTTAAGTTCATCTTCAGATACTCTGTAGCCAATAAAATGATCCTTAGAGCATCTAAAAATGAACTTAAGGAGATCTTAAATATAAGGTCTGACTATGAATACAGGTATTAATTACTCACGTTATGATTGCGCCTCTGTATGACTTCGAGAAACAGCGTCGGCCGGTCTTGCATGTTCTTCGTGAATATTTGTAGAAGGTAGCCGTTTTCGTCATAGTCTATCAGTATCTTCAGTTTCTGTGACGTGACAACGTGATCGGTATATTAATAACATATATATGCGTTTTGCTCGACTCGATGTAACGGATAATCAAATCGCTATTTAAAATAGAGATATACCTGCAGCATATCCAAGTCCTCCACGATCTTCGTGCCGCTGACCTTCAGGCGATTCCTCAGCATATCGTAGTAACTATCAGGCACGTCGAGAAATTCCATTCCTCGTGCACGTAAATGCGTTATCTACGAAAACGGAATACTTTAGGATACTTGTTATATCGTTATAGTTATATCGTGTGTGCGTGAAAATTAATATAACTTTAAACTTAAAACGCAAATGGTGTTCTAGAGCTGCCAGATATATCTTTAATCTCGGGATTTTTGGACTACTTGGAATCTATTCAACAATCCCTGAGTAGTTAATAATTACAAATAACGATTGCAAAGTTGGCCTTCGAAATGTCTCTTAGATCGCGCTCGAGCTATGTTCAATTAAATATGTGCGTCACATGCGCAAAAATCGTCACGTTGTAATACCCACCGCTGTAATGATGTCGCTGGTATTGAGGGCGATGTGTTGCACACCGGCACCGCCGTAGTACTCGACGTACTCTTGGATCTGTGAGCGCTTTTTGCCCGCCGCGGGCTCGTTGATCGGCATCTTCACCGTCTCCTCCCAATTCGTCATGACGATGGACCGTAGTGCCGAGTACTGCGTATGGAGCTGTGTGTCGTCCACCGACCAAAATCGATGGAATTGCAAACATTCCTCGTACCTGTAGGGGAGAAAAAATTAGTATAATATATAGGGTGTCTCTTACGGAGGAGTGTCTCTATTAGTATAATATATAGGATAACTCTCTTACGGAGAAGCCGCGGTGTACAAATAGATTAGGTCAAACTGAACAAAAAATTCCTCTACTATTTTGCAAACTGCGTAAAATTTTGAGTTATTAACCCAAGAAGATTTCGTAAATGATCACGCGCCGTACGGTAGATGAGCTGTTATGGCAACGTTTGCCACTGTATGCTTGTATATCAGGTCAAACTGAATTGAAAAAGTCCTCTACCATTTTCCAAGTGATCACGTACATATTTAGTTATTAATTAAAGAAATTTGGTATACAATTGTGCGTGATAATGCACTAATCTTTTTTAATTAATAACTAAATATATACGTAGTCATTTGAAAAATGGTAAATGAATTTTTTGTTCAGTTTCATCTAATATACAAGTATATAGCGGCAGACGTCGCCATCACAGCACATCTACCGTATAGCGCATGATCGTTCACGAATCTTCTTTGATTAATAACTTCGAATTTTACGTGGTTTTTCGCAAAAAATGGTAGAAGAATTTTTTGTTCAGTTTGATTTAATTTACCCGTATACCGCGGGTCCTCTGTGAGTTACCGGACAACCTGTATATTCTAGAAAATATTTTAATGTATATAATAATATTAATACTATAAATAATATTAATAATATAAATACTATTATATATAATAATATTAATATATAAATACTATTAAACTAAGAGCTCGAACAAATGAATTACTACTTTGTGACATCATAAAAGTAGTCCGTTCGTACAGATCTATAGCGCTTCTCCGTGGCGCTACAAAGTGACTAGTCTGTCCAAGAGTCCTAATAGTACTATTAATGCCATATACATATATATTATAATTGGTATTATATATATATATATATATATGTGTGTGTGTGTGTGTGTGTGTGTGTGTGTGTGTGTGTGTGTGTGTGTGTGTGTGTATGTATGAAAATATTAAATATGAAAATACTAAATTATAATATATCATAATTATACATAATATATACATATGACATATCAATATATAGTTTACTATTATAAATTACTTTGTTTATGAAATAAACTACTATTTTAATGTGTTATATATTGTTATACATATCTTCGAATAATTCGAATAATGAAACGCGTAATATAAATTAAGTGGCTTTAATGTATTATACATTACATACTAACAAGTGTTACTAACGAATGATACACACACAAACGAGTATAATGACCGTTTCAATATATTGTACGTTCTATCGTGAATACTGTGCACATATCGAAACATTTTATCAATAATTCATAACAAAAGTATCATCGCCATCTAGAGTCACCACAGAGAACTACGATTATTTATTGCTTCTTCTTAGCATAAGTGTTGACGAACAGATCAATTTGCATACCATTTAGCGACAGGTTCCATCTGCTTGTCGGGCTGATTACCCACTACATGATCCACGAAATTCAGATTCGTCTGTGGTCTGCAATCATTTAAAAAGAGTTGATTAGAACGACATATATCGTAGGAATATCGAGTTGTACAGAAGATTCGCGCCATCTTTGAGATTTTATTTTCGGCACGCGGAAGATCCGGAAAGATAGGAATCTTCCAATTGCGCGAAAGATCATAAAAGTTTAATGAATGAAACGTCGCATTTTCGCTGAAAGAAATCGGCAAAAATTCTCCGAGTAACTTGATACCACTGCGAACTATATGAAACCACGTTTTCGTGTATACGTACAATTGTTTGAGAAGACAGTCTACCGGTGCTTTCGCGAAGCCAGGGAGGAAGAAGCCCTTGTACTTTGTCCGATCGATGAGTGTGTGAAGCGTATCACCGTACTGTAAAAAGAGGAAAACAATATTAGGTTCATTCAACGATGTCCAATATCATTCTATGGGTTATTATTAGAAAATATAAAGAGGCTTTCGACAAGTTTTTCCACACATACGGTTTTCACAGTAGCCATTCTTATGATGCCGTACTCGTCACTCTCTTCCCATATATCGCGCACTATCTTGGCACCTTTTTGCTTGGCAACCTGCGATTTAATATATTAGCTCTGATGAATTCTATTATGATTATTTTACTATTGAACATTAAATGAGAAAATCAATTTTTATTTCGTAGAAATTTATTTCCATTGTGTACGTTTTCCTCGATTTCGCGAGTGATTCTAAAGAATTTTCCATAACATTTGTTCTCATTACAACTTTAAAAAGTTTTAATTTATTTTATATTTCTGATAGTTCTCTCTCGAGGAAATATCAGAAATATTCCTCTGGAAGATGTCTTACAGTTTCGTTTTACCTTTACAATGGTGTCGATGTCTTCGACACTAAACGCCACATCTCGCACTCCGTCTCCGTGTTTAGTAAGATGTTTCGACATCTCTTCATCGTCGGGCTCGTAGGGTGACTCGAATACAAATATAATCTGCAAGAGTAATCGCAATCCATTAAAAAGTTCCACATGTTAGAAAAGAAGCAAAACTTTGTGTACTTTAACGTTAGAATTTTTTAATGACTCTCCTGAGTAAGCAGCTTCTTTTTAGCTCGTCGTCAAAGTTACTCACTTTGTCCTGCTTGACAGCATGCGCAGCTGTTCGTCTGGAACCAGTTTCCAAACCACGATATCCCAAAGGTTCGAAGCCCATCCGGCATCGATAGAAACTGGCGACCTGCAATAGACACAACTAGGTTTCAGCAAATCGAGTCTATTTAATTGAGCACATGCAGTTTACACGAGAGAGAATAAATATTCGTTGTGGATATAGATATTATATATTCGGATTTATACCTGCTTTGCGTTTCCGACCCAAAACTTCACGTGGTCGAAGCTGAGGAACTTCCCACCAACGGGCTGAAAATCACGGCTTCATATACATCACAGTATCTGACTCGTAACTCAATTCCAGATGATGAAACATGATGCTTACCTTTGGTCCTTTGTCGGTGTAGGTGGTCTGAAACAGAGAACACAAGAGATTACGTTCGATTCAGGAGTACTTTCTGTGAAACTTAGCAAATTTTTATATTCGTATGACGGGAACTAGCTCCCGTACAAACGAATCAATTCTCGCTCTTACCATCTCGAGACGACTCTAGGAAAGATACGAAAGGAAGAAACGTGTAGAATCCCGCGACGACGATCCCGTGAGCGAGTGAGTATATCTTATCACGAACTTTCCATCGTGTCGGGCTTTAAATACCGCGGATGACCGGTGGGCTCGCCTCTCTTTCGGAGCCATTGGTCCACGCTCTAGAGGCGTGCGTTCTCTACCATCGAGGTCCCCGTGAATTACCATAATCCAGTCGAGCGCAAAGCAGGTTTTTTTAACTGTTTAATGTGTTTTAATTAACACAGCGCACGACACGTTCGAGCAATATTTATATGAGGCTGGTGGGCTCGCCTTCCCGATGTTTGCCGGTGTAAGTAGACTATTTATCTGAAATAAGAAATTAAAGATTAGTTGAGTCTTAGTAATTATTTATGTAAGAAAAAGAAAGTACACGAATATCTCGCGTCGCATTTTTCTAGCTCAGTTTAACACATTGAATCATTGTATGACTTACTTCTAATCTATATTATCTATTTAATAAGGATATTTATAATAATGCGCAGTGGTTGAATATATGACGATGAAACGATTCAGATATAAAATTCTGGTTTCCGATCCTGACACCTCTGACTCTTCGCTGTGATTTGTTTCGTGGAATTTGAAGAAACAGCTCAGACTTCATAATCCATATATTTACTGCCCTCGTCGCATATAGAAGTAATTTTTTTCCGCAAACATGTCTCTCCTTGCAAAACATATTTACGCCGCGTTAGAATGCAGTTTTTCCTCGTACACACACCTTGTAATGCATTTATGCATTTGTAATATTAGGTAGGAGCAAAGATTTTCTCTACTATTTACGTTAAACGCTTTATGACGTGGCACGAATATGATAATGAACCAGCTAGACCGGGAGGCTCGCCTAGATCTCCTGGATCGTACCTCGTCGTGTAACTACGAATTTTCCACTATTGAGTCCTAAAGTCACTTCTCAGCCACCCCATTTGCGATACTAAAAAAACATAAATCTAAAGTCATTTTGCTCGTACATTTTCTGTTTGTGTAAGTATTCATACATTTTATAATTACATATTTCAATATGTAACTATTCGTTCAACATAAAAAGATTCGTGCATGCTATTGTCTAAATCACATACACAGAATATTACAAATTTGATTTCTCTTATCAAATTAAAAACAAATAGAATTAAGTCTCTCTAGTAAAAACTATCGAGATCGAAAAGATTTATATTTGTCGTTGTTTTAAATAATGAAATATTGAAAATTTTATTTCATCAAATTAGAAAAAGAAATGAAATTAGATATCTCTCTAGTAAAAATGAAAATAAAAAAATGTTATTGTTTTAAATCATGGAACATTAAAAATTTTAATTCTTTTATCAAGTTAAAAAGGAATAAAATTGCTTGTTTCTAATAAAAATTGAAACCTTATGTATAGTAGCAATACGATTAAACAATTTGGAATCTGAGGATAAAGTATCCAGGATCAAGTAGTAGTCATAGTGTGGATAAGAATCACAGGATGCGCCGGATAATGTGGTATACAGTAATTCACTTAGAGTACTCGAAAAGCAACGAATCGCTTTATTACACTTCGTCTCTCGAACGAAAATCCAGAAAGATCTATGGAACGCAAAATGCAAAAAAGATCATCCTAGCGGAATGCGCGGTGACGTCTCGCGATTCGGCTTCGCTCGCCAGAAAGCCCCCCCTCCCCCATCCGTGCAATATATGTGTATTTACATAAGCGGTTGCAGTTCGCATATCGTCGTTGCTGTGATAAAAATGGGGAAAAAGAAAAAAAATGACAAAACTCGTCTCGCGCGAGTGACTTTTGCGCGAGCTCGTCGACATTTTCATTTAAAGATTTATCGCGACGGCGGAGAACGGATTTAAGTAGCGCCGAGTACAAACCGCGACTCAACGATTAGCTAAATTTTTACATAGAAATTGACAACAGACAGACAGTATGATCATCGTGTCCTACGATATTATTATCGATGGTTCGTTTCTTTTCTGCTTCTACAAAAGCAATTCGGACGACTAGAAATACTGGACGTAGCGCGTTCGCGGATATTGGAATACTGATTCTCACGCGAATATATCGGGCTATGAAGCGATAATTCTACCCGCAAGCATAGAACGAGAGAATTCTTCTCGTACGAAAGTGAGTCGAGATGATTCGGTATCAATTTGACGCAACGACAACGTAATGTCGTATTATCCGAGTTGATGGAAAAGATTTTCAAGATTAATTTTTTCACGGAAACAAAACTTCCCAGACAGCGCAAATTTGTAAAAGACTTTTGAAAGACGTCTAAACAAATGGTATATCTTTTGGACATTTCAAGGTATCTTTCAGAAATTTTTGCTGTCTCGGTTCGTATAAGAAAAAAACCTTACTACTATTTCGTCTTATTTTTACAGCGAAAATCGCGCACAGTTCGCTTGTCTTTCGAGGATTTTTCGAATTCTATACATTCGATTCTCTCGTTCAATTGCTAGCATTGCTTTAATAAAACCGCAACAGCCTAAAAGCGCTTGTTCGATTCAAACACAAACAATAAATTATAAGTTGATTCGTTATATGCACACACACGTATGTACAAAGAATAATCTACTATTTACAAGATGTCCGAGAATTGCAGCGGACAATGGATAACTAAATATGATTCGCAACTCTCGCATGATTCGATATCACTTTCGTTCTTTTTTCTTTTTTCCCGACGAGAATGCCACTGTTTCCTGCAATTCTTCGATCTTTCGACACTCAAAACGTTCCGTGTCTTCATAGTTCTCTGAAATGACAATGTTCAATATTCTGTTAACCGAATTTCTCAGATAGGATCTGTTTAATGAAATCAAATCACGAATAACGCTTCCAAAACGCTTCGTTCTCGATTCATAATATTATGAGAATTGTCGGCGCCTCGACATTTCCAATGGCGAGTGAAACGTCGAAGATTTTGTGGCGTTAGAATTTCAGGAAGAGTAAGGCTATGCATGTGCCCGCTTTCTGTTTCAATTCTGGGACATCTTGCGCGATATAAAGTAGTGTAAGTTGTAATATCTACGTGATTAAGACGGCGGAAATATATATGTATATATATGAGGAAACGCATTGACTTGAGATGTCGAAGATCAGCTATATCATAGAAAATTTCTCGATCCATAGCATCATAAAAACACGTCATTAAGTTATACATCCCAGAAAGCACGAGTATATACTTGCCGCGCTTACATAAAATTTTTCATAGAGTATACCGTGCCGTCCGGGACTTCGGCGACATATAAAAGCTCTTGTTCGCGACCGTAACCAATTTCCTGCGAATTATCCTGTGTTTACAAAAATACATATGTAGAAAAACGCTTCTGTCAGCCGTATCCTTTTTACTGTCATAAAATCATCTCGACGCGGTCGAACGAATTTTCCCGTTCACAATGTATTCACAATGTATATGCGGCAATTTGCGTTAATTAATGCATTTAACCTGCACTTAAATCTGCAAGCGTGGAAAAATATGTACAAAATGGCGCCCTAGCCGGGAACATAACGTAACGTGCGTTATAACGAATAAAGGAATAATTAACCCTCGTGTGATTATATTGAATTTTCTCTCGTCAGCTGCTTCGAAAAAATGGATTATTTACGCTCGTTTCTACTAAAAAAACAATTCGATTAAACTTTAGAGAGAGAGAGAGAGAGAGAGGGAGAAAGAGAGTCTAAGTTTAAACTCTATTCAAACTCCTAATTTAAATTTAGACTAAAGTTTAATCGATATTTATGAAAAAATAGACATTAGTGATAAAAAAAGAACACCATTACTGGATATTATAAGATCTTAATTCCCGTCTTATATTCTATATATCGTATAATTACAACGCGCATCATATTGTTATGATAGTCACACTTTAAAATAATTATATTTTCAAATTAAATTCTCGAAAAATTGTATGCTCAAATTTCCGGTCGTAAATTACATTGAGAAATATACAGACATATTATTATTATTATAGCTTATTCAAAGCAGCGAAATACACATTGTCGGCGAAAATTTTCATATTTACATTCTTTGCAAATTAAGCAAACTTAGCGTTAAGCGTGCAAATAGCATATCTCACTTTTGCGATCACACGAGGGTTAAAAATAACACGAATTCTCGGCTGCGCACGCTACCATTCACTGCGACACAAGTGATATGCAATTCCATTTACAGCAGCACAATTCCATGATCTCTCTCCAGTCTACGTTTTGCCTTGAGGGCTACGATTCCCATTAGGTCCGCTGGAGTTGGCAGTGACCCGAAGCTGCTCGGCGACACTGTTTGCTGGTAGTACACCTCCATCCTCCCGCACTGGTTGCCGTAAATCACTGAGTCCTCTTTCCTGTTTCGTGGAAATTATATAAATTCTGACGATCTAACATGAAAGTGTGGTTAGAAAAAAGCTAGTATTTTTATTCTGTTTGTTACCTGATTATTAACTCCGTTAAGTATTGTGAACCATTCGTTTGGCGACGGGAACGCAGGAATCTGTCGTGGAGACTGGAAACGATATCTAGATCGGTGATTCCCCATAAACCTGCTCTCTGAATAGTGTCCCACTGAGGGTCCACGTTCAGAATGCTGTACTGTTCTTTGTTGTCTGTAGATGGGAGCGGTTCCAAACATTGTTGCAGCCGTGTTTCGAGCTTCCCTAGGGTGCTCACGCAGGTTTGCCACTATATCAAACGAATCGCCATTAAATCACGAAGATGTATATATGGAAATATATATTATATCTTGTCGAATATTAATAGATTTCAACGTGCTCTAGTATAGAATAGTATGTATCCAATGTATAGTATATATTATATAATATTATCCAATGTATAGTATATATTATATAATATTATATGTATCCAATGTATAGTATATATTATATAGTATGTATCCAAGCCTATTTTTATTAAGTATGTCGAGTTATATTCTTTGCACAAATGCATCTAATAAATACGTAAATTTTCCAAGTCTTACTTAATATCAAATATTATTTAAATATTATCATGTATTATTTAGTATTATCAGATATTATTTAAGTATTATTTTGAGATTCAGTGGAAATCGCAAACTTACGAGAGCGTGTATTAGTTCGGGATTGTTCGCAGTACCGTTCTCCATCAGCAGCACCAGTACCATGTTCTGCAGGCCACAAACGAACAGTTCGGTCTGAATTAAAGTCGTGGACTGTGCGCACGAATTTCTTTCGTCCACGTGGCCCGTTAAATGTTCGTGGTTCGTTTCGTCGTCGTTGTTGCTCTCCTCCTTGTTGCTCCAACTTGTTATCCTCTCGGACTCTTGCTCCGTCATTTGCTGCGGCTGCTGTCCCATCAGATATGGCTGTTCTATCAGTTGTTGTTGCTCCGTCAGATGATGTTGTTCCAGTAGATGCTGCTGCCCAGTTAACTGCTGTATTAGGTGATGTTGATGGCCTGTCAACTGCTGCTGTTTCACTACATGCTGTTGTTCCAGTAGGTGTTGCTCTTGTTTTATTTGACGTTGCTGCTCCAACGGAAGCTGCTGCTCCATCGGATGCTGTTGCTCCGTTTGTTGCTGCTCCTCCTTTTGGGATTGCTGCTGTTCCGTAAGGTGCTGCTGCTCTGTTAGGTTGCACATCGTGGCAGGTGTAATTGCGGCAGGCACAATTGCGGCAAAGGTTGCACATGCCGGGTCTGGACGGCTCTCGCTCGGTGTATTGTTGTCCCGAGGGCCCCAACAACGTTGCTCGTGAGCGAGCACACTGAGCTTCGATATCAACGGGGTAAGTTGCAGACCGTCCAATCCATCCTTCCGCAGATACGTCAAGTTGCACGATTTCGAACCACTGCACGTTCCCCAATGATCTTCCTCGTTCGTCAGATTTATTGGTTTCAGCGGCAACCTCATCGATCTTCTGTTGCTGTTGTGGGATTGCTGCTGTTGCTGCTGTTGATTTCTGTTGAGGCCGTAGGCGCATCCATCCTCGGGCGTGCATACTGAACATTCAACGGAGTGAGTAAAAAAATATTATCCCACGATATTTACTTAATCCTGCGTTATTCTTTCAAGCAGTAATAAACTGGGAAATGCAAATGATGTTTTAACCGGTAAGTTCAATTACTGTACACCGATGGTATCTAAATTTAATTTTAACAAAATTATATCACTACCGATTTTTACTTTAAAGAACTTAAACATACATTATTGTCTTTCACATAAATAAAATATATAAAATAAACAAATAAAATATTTGTTCTTGTTTGATTATTTATCCTTTCAGAAAATATATTCGTATAAACTTACTGTCCCATTGTTCCGATACCGTCGTTGAGTACCAAACACATTTCACAAGGCGCATAATAAATTCCGCTTCGTTTTTCCGATTTTTGATAATCCAGACGGAACATTTTAAAATAAATACGAATTGCACGATATACTAAAAACAAATATTCGTACAAGGTAATATGCGTTGTGTATAACCCGGCTAGGCTAAAGCCTAGATAAAATATGTAAACTCGATTGATATCAAACGACATACATATGTATTCTGAATTACGATACGTTTATTTGAATGTGAGATGTGTTTAGAAAGAGGTGACGAAGGTATTCTAACTTTGTATATATTATACCGAATGTTCATGAAGAGAGTCAACATGTAAACAAACTTTCTTCAGTTCGTATGTGTACTTGACTTCTTATTGAAATATAAAAGATCGGTAGAGACAGAAAGGCTAATTCGTACTCACGAAAATACTAATCAAATATCTAATTAATTAATTTGAACAATTAATTTCTTCGAACATGAAAGCAATTTTCTCTTTTTTTGTTTTAGCAATATAACTAACTCACTTGTAATTTTATATGAATTTATCATAATAAAGATTTTAAAAACAACATTAACTCTCTCTCTCTCTCTCTCTCTCTCTCTCTCTCTCTCTCTCTCTCTCTCTCTCTCTCTCTCTCTC